AATTATTTCAGCACATCTAAATTAACATCTAAATTAGATACAGTTAATTATATTATAGTGTGAGTGATCAGTCACAACGTTTTCGTTGTACAAGCTCCTGTGCCCTCGTAGAATGCCTGATCAAAAATATAACACATTGTTGTAATATCTTGTTCTAACTAATCAAAAGATCAAAATTATGACACATTATTGTAATATCTTGTTCTAACTAATCAAAACAGCTTGACTTGATCAGTTAGTGTTATGCTAAGCTAGTAGGCAAAAGGCCAAAGTATACTTCAGCTTAGCATATGCGTACAGCTGAACACTTAGCCTTTCAATGTAGACTCCATTTGATAGTGTGCATGGACACAGGTACTCAACATATGCACACTAGTAAGTTTCATCTTTCTGGGCTCTTTCACTCCAGAAGTTATGAGCGATAAAGATGTCTTTGTACTCATTTAAACTACAGTTGTGTGTACACTGTAAAAAATGACCGTGAATTTAATGGCAAAAGACTGTAAAAATGCTACAGTAAAAACCTACTAAAAAATTCCCCTACTATATACGGTGAAAAACTGTATTGGACATTACATGTATTGGACATTAATTTTACGGTAGTATACCGTTTTTGGAAGTGAAAAAGACCATATAATTTACCGTAAATTGACATTCCCAGAATTCCCTGCGTTACATTTCAAATTTGATGTTTTTTTGTTGAAATAACTATGTTTCTTCTTAGTTTTTTCTTATCAGTTTTGTATATTAGGGTTGTGTGTTATACCAGATGTTGTTAAATGAATGTTTTTTGCATTATTTTAATTTCATGTGTGTTACCATGATGGTATTTAGTGTTTGTGTGAATGACACGGTGCACCTTCTATATATTTAAAAATATAACATTTAAAAGCTGCTTGTGATGGGCTTTGGTTCATCATGTGACTTTCTCATCACCACCTGCATTTGGTGGTTATCAGTGTATTACAAAGGTACAAAACAGATTTCAGTACTTCAATAGGTTGGTATATTAACATTATATCAGTTAATTAAATTACGGTATTTAACTGTAAATTTAAGTTAAAACCGTAAAACCTAAAACGTTGCTACTGTATTTTTTACTGTAAAATTCCGGCAACCACAGCTGCTGTTTTTTTACCGTAAATTTTACAGAATTTTTTTAACAGTGTAGGCCTATACCTCAACCCCCTCACAAATGCACTCTCCAAAGCACACGTCTATTTGTCGTCTTCAGTAGTTTGTTGTTAATTTGTGTATCATTCGTTCATTTGATTTTTGTTTTAATATTGAAAATATAAATATGAGAAAATGATGCCTTTTTCGTTTTTGCATTCTGGGGTAGAAAATCAATAAACAGCTTGAATATTCGAACTCTACATGTGGGGGGGAATGAAACACCCCTTTCTGTCAACCAAAGATCAAACTAGTGTTGTCACGGTACCAAAATTTCAGTATTCTCTTTCATTTACCAAGTCGGTACTAAAAAATTGAAAACGTTACGGTACCAGGTTTTTTTAAGTACCAGTTTTTTTAAGTACCGGTGGTACCGAGTACCCAGTCTTGATGCGCTATCCGAAAGGTGCGCAGATGCGCTCTCTTCATAAAAGCACTGAGACATGGCGACCTCAAAATGAGGAAACACATCAAACTAACAAAACACTTTAAAGACAGACACCCAGATCAAATGAAAGAGTTCAAGCAGGTAAGT